AGAGTGTCAGTCCTTTACTTAGCAGGGAAGGGTAACTGATAATTGATTACATCAAACAGGTGGAGGTATTTAATGGCTGTTTTTCTACAGTCTTCACCAAAATATGAACAGTGTTTGAGTATTTGGGTATAAGAAGAAGGGGGGCTTTACGCACTCTGAAGGCCAATCAGGGGCAGGAGGCGCATGCAAAATCTCCCCCCTCACACACATCCAGCCCCACCCTGCCAGGAGCACAGAACACCTAGAGGGAACAGCTGGCAGTTCCCTCTGGTGCCACGCACCCCTGGCAGGAGAAGGAGACTTTGTGCGCTCCCCCGTCTCCAGGTTTCAATTGGCCTGGGGAGAGGGATCAGCAAGGTGGCTGTGGGCCGGATCAAAAGGCTTGGCCAGCTGGATCCAGCCTGCGGGCCCTATCTTGTCCACCTCTGATCTTGATGGTGCTTGTTCCTGCTGTGAGGGCAGGAGACTGGACTTGATGAGCTCTCAAGGTCCCTTCCAGTTCTAGTGTTCTTACACCAAGAAGGATCATAGAATCATAGATGTTTAGGATGTCCAGTATTATTTTCACATTGTAGTTCTTGATAATGATACATAAGATGTAGATTAAACCAGGAACATTTATTCATTGCAATATCCCATTCCAGCAGGGGCATGATCTATCTTTTTTTTTATCCCTTTTTCTTAGACTTCTGTTTCTTAATGAGAATGAAGTATACAGTGCTTGAGGGTTTCCAGCTAAAGCGAATGGTTACAAAAACTTTAATAACACAGAATCTGCACAGGAGAAAATTCATATTAATTATCATTGTGATACAGCCATGTGCAAAAACTTAGTTGTGATTATTAAAATATGGTTGACCTAGAAAGACTTCACAGAATAGCATATATCTGATGTTCAGCAGAAGGCTTCTTTTGTATTTAGTGGTAAGCAGTTTTTACTGTTCAGATCCTGTTATGCATAAAGTGTGTACTGTATTCTCATAATATGGATGTTTATTTAACTCTCCAGTATACAGCTGTAGCATCTCTTCCACAAATGTAAACCCAGTTATAATCCTCCCCTCATTATAAAAAGCACCTTTTTTTCCCCTCAGGCAAAATGATCTGAAATAGTGACGTGCTACTGTGTAGGAGGGTGTTATGTAATTCCAATACCTCTATAATGGACATTAGTTTAGAGGGAGCTTCACCAGTGCTTTCTAGCCTTTGAGCCATGAATGCAGCTATGGGACTAGCTCAATTGTCAGTGAGTCAGTCTCTCATTTTTTCAAGGAGAAACTTCTGTCAGTAGATCTGGAGTGTGCCATCTGGGAGCAAACTTGGTTAGACAGCAATTTTTCTTGAATTTAAGACAGCTGCAATTACAAGCGTTCCATGAAATTGTATTTTTTTTAATTAGACATGAGGCATAACAAGGAACAGCTTCACATTAAGTTTTGGGGAGCCATTAAACAAGCCTTATTATCAGAATTTCACAGAGCTGTAGAATGGTCTTGCAACTATTCCTTTATCATATGGTCTTCCCATTTTTTGTAGGGTTTAGCTCTACATACAACCTTGTATTTTTATATACATTGAATATCTTCATGTAAATTCCAGGATTATTTTTTTTACTATTACTGTCAATGCATTTATATTTTCTATTTTGACATTTAGCCAGAACCAGCTAATTAATATATTTGCCTTAATATACTTTATTTTTTTTTTTAAAGTTCATTTATTAAGTGTTAATATTGAGTATTGTTTGTGTGTTTAGACTTACAACATGTTTGCATCTGCTTTGCTCATGTAAGGTGGAGAAAATTCCATATTTACTCATAATAAAAGTATTAGAGAAACTGTCAATAAATTTTCTGTCATAATTGAATCATATATCTAAATTGTTGATAATGTGATCTGCTTGTTAAACAAAAGTGTCTGGAGAAAATGACGGATTAATTGACTGATGGCTAAGGTTTCTCTCAAATATAATGGTTTACCCAGTTTGATTTGATTTGTGTAAAATAACTTTCTCTAATAAACAATTTGCTCAGAGGCAATAGAAGAAATGAATGGTTATCAAACTAAACTTAATTAGTCTATCCTAGATTGATATTACTTGGGGAGTCTTCGTTTTAATTGTGGAGGGCTGGATACAAAGAGTTCGGTTCATTATATTTTTCCCGTATAAACACTATTGTGTAACTACCTATGGAATAATAACATGTGATTTCATTTTAATAAATGCTTGTAAAGTGAATTAGCTAATTATGCCAGGCTAAAAATGATTCCTTTAATTATTTTGGATATTTAGCTGGTACTTCAATTTTATTATTGTTAGTCTGTAAATGTGATTTGTATTAGCTCTGCCAAACTAATTATAATATATAACTTAAACCATTTGAACAGGTTTGTAATGCTTCTAATGGACCCTTCTGTGCTAAGTAAAACATTTCTATTAGAGTATACATATAAACAGGGAATTGTACATGTAGATTTTCTATAAGAAAGCAAAGACCAGTAATGTAAATATTTTTTCTTTAAAAATATATTGTGATTAAGCAGTACATTTAAGAGAACCCTTTGTCAGCCGACGGTCAGGGCAGTGTGTGTGTGTATGCTTCCGAGAAAAGGTTTAACGTCCGTGTCTTTACTGCTAGGACCGGGGTCCCGTCGCAGAGGGTGGCCAGAAGGCCAACAGACGCCCCGTTATAACGGAAGAGCTTATTACACCTTAGATTTTAACTGCTAGAACACAAAATTCCTTCGCAGCGGGCCGCCTGGGAAAGGCTGGAAAGGTGCCCCAACGTCTCTTGTCACCTGGGAGTGACACAGATCCAAACGCCCAAGCTCTCCTTATGTCTGTCCCTTTATGACCGGCTGAAGTTCTTTTAAATTGTGCTTGGTTCTGTTACAGCAACTGAAGGAGTCAGGTTAAAGCTTAAACAGTTACAGGTTTATTAAAAGACTTATAAAAGCATATGGTTACAATGGCTATTGCTCTATTTCTTAAATGCTAACAAATACAGATTTTAAAAATGGTTACAAAGAAAATAAAGATAGAAAATAGAAATAATGGTACCAAGTGACAGCTTAATCTTTAAAGAGCTCTATAACACTATGTATATATACTTAAACAAAGGACCACATCCAGGTACAATTTTTACCCCTTTCTGTGCCTCTCGACTCCAGCGTGTCAGGCCAGGGCCGGTCTCTCAATTCCTAGGAAAGACGAATACGAGGTGGGCGTCCCCTTGGAACCTCGGGAGATCAAACACCAAACCCGACCAGCAGATAGATGGTAGATTGACACTCAAAGAGAATGCGCTGCTGGACCTATCTTTATACCCCTGGGGGCCCGTATTCTCTTTCTTATCTAAGATGCCGAATTCTACTGGTCCGTTTTGTGGCGCCAGTTCTTACAAGCAAGTTTCAAGTTAATTTACACTTGCAAGAGAGATAACTAAATTGTGAGCACTAGACATTTTTTTTACTGGGCGAGAGATTCCTCCCCCCGCGGATGGATGTGTGTTCGTATCAATATGGGTTAAGTCAAGGGCACTCCTTGGCAGCCTCTTGGTCAGCAATTGGCATATCTCTGTTTATAGCCATTCATGGTCACACAGCCTGGGCCTTCTGCTCTGTGTGCCCTGTATGCTCCAGGCAAGCAAAAATGGATGTTACAAGGGGGTTCCTGTCTGGCTACAAGCACTCAGCTCCCCCAGGGAATAAGTTGGGTCATCCCTCAGGCAGAGGGTGATGCACCTTTACTGCAGGGGAGTGTGTCCTGGGATCTTGTACCAGCCAGTCTTTGCAAGGTGGGGAAGGGTCTGTACACAATAATAGCACAGACCTTAATGAATAAAATCCACACTTGGTTAATTGCTCCCCAAGCAGGATTTCCAGTCTTCAGTGCTCATGTGATCTCCTGGGTGGAGCCAAGGGAAGAGCTGTGGATCCTAGATCTTCAGGCCTGTGAGGAAGGAGAGATCATTAGTGACACCCACACAGGTGAGCAATCAGCTAGACTGTCTCAGAAACCAATCTCTGTGTGCTCATAGCAGATATCACTTTTTCATTTTCATCAAGTCTTACCCATCAGCCTGTCTTCAACTCTAGTCAGAGTGGGGACAAAGGTTGGAATCTCTCCTTCAGGAAGAGGTTATGGGGAAGGAGGATGGGCTCAGCTCATGATTACTGAACTTTCTAAGATTATTTGGGCATGTTCCCCCTTCTCTATTCCCTGTTCAGAGTTTTCTTTTCAGCTCAGCACAGGGAATGACTCCTGTCTGGATTCTCTTGCTGTCCCAGCAGGTGATGGGACACTGAGTGAGAACAATGAGAAGAGTCTTCAGC